CAGTGGGGCCATCAGGGTCAGAGCGCGCCGCCAGCCCCAAATTAAATGGTGGTTCACATTGGCTTTTACAGAAAATGGTATTTGTGATTAGAATTGTGAAGGTGGTGCTCTGAAGGAAGAAGGTTTTCTTGGCTGCATGAGAATAAAATGGTATATAAGTTATGAATGCCTTTATACCAGACGTTTTCTCTGTTCAGAGTAATATATATGTTTTTATTTATAAACGTCCATTCTACTGGTTGGATTTGTGAAAGACTAACAGAAATTGTAGTTTGTCTGCCTGTCCAAATCTGTGGAGGCGGCCAAAGGTGTCTGCATGTCTACCTGCCCGTCCCCTCGTCCGTATTTCTCTGCGGGCCAGGCATGTCTGCACACACGTCTTCCTTCTTCTCGAAAACAAACACTTCAGCATAAGGGGAAGAGTGGATACCACCGTTTCTAGATTCAGGTCTATCTTTGGGAAGCTTGTCTGGGTTACATGACTTTGCGTTTTCTCCATTCCCAGATGATAAGCAGCATAAAATCTAGGGAGAGGAGAAATGTGGTGAGATTGGTTGGTGAGTTCAATCCTTGACCAACTTTAAAAGTATTTTAAAAGCTTTTCAACACGAGAGGATAATGAAATGATGTTGTGTGTTCTTGTCATGCAATCTAACACGGAGTCTGGGGGACAGCGGAGGGTTATGACAGGGCAGAGAAGATGACTCTTCTGTATCTGTCAGCCATTTGTAACAAAAAATTTGCATGGATGAATTACACTTTTCTTCTTGTGAGTTCTGGTTTGTAAGAGGAAGAAGGACATTTTAGACATATTTCAGAACTGAGTGGCTGATGAGGCCACAGATAGTTTTTTAAGAGTTCGGGGAAATCAGGCAGTGTCTCATCTGTTGTTAATTAATGAAATGAAACTAGGGTCACTAGAGTACAACAATGAATGAAAGGTCAGTGAATGGAAAAAACTGTCAATGAAGGAGGGTGTTAGCAGAGTGGAACATTGTCCTAGATAAAGATCAGGGAAAATGTACTCTTTGGCTGAGGTAGTGTTTTCTGGAAGTGACTAGGAGCCATAGTTCGGGACATTTCAGTCCAGACTGAGCACTAAATGAATGCTCTGATTTCAATGAAATCTGTTAAATATTTTAAGGCTATTCAGGTTTGTGCCAGAGATTAGTTGAAAAGATACGTAAAAAAGAAGTTTCTTTTTGTTTTATAATGTTTGTACAGTGTGTTATTGCTGTTTTGTTTGGCTTTTTGGTTTTGTTTTGAGGTTAAAAACTGGTTTCTTGCTCTCAATTATTTCTGGTCTCTTAGAATTTTCTAGAACTACCCTCACTTTTGAGATCCCCCCAAAGTTAAAGCGATTTGGGATCACGGTAGTACTTAGTGTTAAAGCTGACCTCAAACAGTCCAGGGCGGCTGACGCTGTCGATGATGGTTGCCAAATTGTATCCTCTCTGAGAGTTGCCTTGTGGAGGATGGCCTGGAAGTCCTTAGGACAGCTTCACCACCATCTTGCACACTGTGATCATGAACAAACCAGTGACTGTATTTCTGTCTTAACTAGTTCATCTGTCAGCTCCGTTCTTGGTTTCATGTGAAATGAGTGCATTTAGAGTCTCTTGTGTCTCTGCTCATGTCAGACCGCTTTCCCTTTTTTCTCCCTCATTGAAGCTTTTGAACCATATATGGCTCTGGGGAAGTGAGGCTCTGCCATCAGTTTGGGAGAGGCCCATGGCCATTTTTAGCCTGGTATTGAGACCTAGCAGGTCATGGCTAGTGAGGGCAGGACCCCATAGAAATCAGCAAGGCTATCCCTACATCCTTACAGTTAATCCTGTAGTATTTGGAGAAGATGCATAGCACAGCGATTGACAGTATCGTCTCTAGGGCCAGACTGCTGGGGCTCATATTCTAGTTCTGCCAGTTGTTACCCCGTGTCTTTTTGAACCTCTGTTTTCCTATCTGTAAAATGGGAATAATAACAGCACCCACCTCCTAGTTATAAAGATTGAATAAATACTTGTAAAGTGCCTTAGAGCAATGTGTGTCACTTAGTAAATGTTAGGTAATTCTTTGATTACTTATATTATTTGTACATCTGATTACTTATAAATTTAAAATGGAATTCAAGTGGAGTTTCCTTGGATTGTCTCTCTTTTCTCTGAGAATGTTTACTGGAATATTGTTCTGTTGGATTTAAATGAGAGACTAGTACATGAACTGTTTTGGAGCCAGGATAGAAAAAAAAAAGTGAGAACAATTCTTTGTAGAAACACCAGAACCACAGAAGTTAGTAGAAGCTAACATTTAAGCTCATACAATTAAATTGTAATCAAAATAGTGCCTGTCGGTTATTATGGTGGGTAGGTGTGAGATAGGCAAAGAATGGTGAGACCCTCCCTTTAACACTTACTGTTATAAAAAATACTTTGGGGAAAAAAAACCACACACCTCACCAAATATAACTGTATTATGCAATTAGGCTGAAAAAGAACAGAACACTAATAGGAACAAAATTATAAATCCTAATCGATGACCCTCATATACATAGGCCAATATAGGCTGACCCCTTTCTTGAGATTGCCCGTCGGTCATGCTCATGGGTATAGGATTCTGACTGACTCCGTCTCAGTACTTGGAGTGGTGGCCCTAGTGTAACATTTCCTTAAGTATGAGTTGCCCTAGCTATTAAAAGATTTTAGTGGGGGAAATGGCAGGGGGCAGGCCATGGTCAAATAAGTTTCCCAAACTTATTTGAGTTAAATTAAGCTTGTTTTTTTGGAGATATTTGTTGGAGCCTTTAATATGCTAATGTGTGCTGTGATTGTCCCAGGGAGGTAGGATATGCAGTACTTCCCTTACTTTTTGGACCAGTATCTCATCTGTTCGCTTCCTGCAGGACCCCAGTGCTTTGGCGCACACTTTAGAAAATGTAACCTGAGAAGCATTGCTTTTTTCCCTTTGTGTCTCTGGTGAATCTTAATAAGATGTAGCTGAACAATTAGCTGCAGATCGAGGGTGGAGGAAGGCCTCACGGGTGAGGCTGGGTCCTAATGTATTTGAACTCAGCCTGGGCACGCTCTGCCACACAGTCGATCATGGGACTTGTCTGTGGTTGGCTGGCTATGTGTGCGTTCACAGGGCATGGCAGTGTGGTGGTATTCCTGGATGAGAGAATAGCACCGAAGTGTGAAATACAGTGGCTTCTGTGTGGCTGGAGGTCATGCTTGGGAAATGGTAGGCAGTGAAGCCATGAACCTGTACAGGGACACGTCCTGAGGGCCGCATCTATCACAGGAAGGAGTTGGGGAGTTCTGTAATGGAACCACCTACTCTTTCCATCAGGTTATCTTAAGAACTTTAGTAAGCACACTGCTGACGAGTCAAAACCGTGCACTTAGGTAGGAGGCTAGGAATGCACACTTGAGCATTTTGCAGGTGGCATAGTTGTCACCCACTTCCTGCCACCCTAGCTTGCTGCATTGTGGGACCTATACTGAGCCTAGACAGTAGACACAGGAGTCCAGATTACTGCCGGGGACAAAAAGGGATGACACTCTCCCCTCCCAGCTCCTTGCGCATCTGCAGTTTTTGAGGGCATGTTTTGTATGCTTCTGGAAGTGGACTGAAGACTAATAGAATGTAACTCAAGGATCCGAAGATAAATATTAAAAGAGATTTTAGTATCTTGTTTAAGGCTTGATTAAAGAGGTAAAAGTAGGGGCTGCCCTGTATCCTAATAACATGTTAATTGTTTTTTAATTAAATAGTACTAAAAATATGCAAGTATTTCCTGTGATCCAAATCTCTTTGCTTCCTGACAAGTAGTAAGGATTTGGCTAGCAGGGGATTTATCTGAAAATTTATCAGAATCTTTAGGTTCTGGGTTTGGGTTTGGATAGCAAGGAGTGTTTAGATTGGAAAACCCAGGGAAGACCTTACTCATTTTTTCTTTTCCAGAGGAGGTGAGTGTGCCTCCTGTGGCTGGACAGATTTTTCTTCATTACGAAATGGCAAGATTGTGACTTAATGAAGGTCATAGAGCAGATCACTGTAAGGACTAGACTAGGAAAAACGGGATTTTTCTGGGTCTAGGAATCTTGTCACGAGGACTTCATGTCCCCTAAGCAGTTAGGGTCTGTCACCACTTATTCATAGTGCTTAGCAAAATGAACTGCAGAGCCCAGGAATCCGTGGTAATTATGGGAACCTTGATTAATGGTCCAGGAATTTCAAGGGCTTGATGTGGAGGCTCTTTGCAAGAGTAGGGGTGCATATGTTTGTGATACCTATGAAATTTAAAAAAAAAACCTATATAGTAGGAAGATTTAAAGTTAATTCTAGAAAGAATTTTTAACTTGATCAATTTTATTTTGAAGAAATAACATCTGGCCTCAGTTCACGGGGTTTTTTTTAATATCCTCATTTTGCTCCTGTGAGTATTTGTCTTGGCTTGGTTATTTGCTACTTATTTTAAATTCTCTTTAAGTTCACAGAAAAGCATTCCTTGGGGGGTGGGGAGCCAGGACAAAATGTAGGATATGTGACGTGGGAGAGCGAGAAAGAGAGGAGTCCTTCTAAGTGTCCTCAGGGCCACAGCCCCCTCTCGTGGCCCCGGAAGCCAAGGCACAGTGCTGGGCTGTGTGCCATACTTAGCGGTTGGCGACGGCGGACAGGAGTATGTGTGCAGGGGTGCTCACCTACATCTGTGGGATTTACTTTTGCTTTTTTTTTTTTAAGATTTTATTCATTTGGGAGAGAGAGCACGAGCAGGGGGAGGGGCAGCGGGAGAAGCAGGCTCCCCACTGAGCAGGGAGCCCGACGATGTGGAACTTGATCCCAGGACCCAGAGATCACTACCTGAGCGGAAGGCAGACACTTAACATCTGAGCCGCCCAGGCGCCCCTGATTTTGCTTTTTAAACTGTTTTATTTGAGCAGTTCATGGAGGGCTGATTTTTATCTTTGTATATGGCTTAATTTTATGATGTTTATTCTTAGGTGGGTTTGCAGAGTTCTCCCGTTGTTTCCCTGGCCTCTGTGAAGGAAAATCTGCTCTAGTCCCTACCTGCATTTCTCAGCCTTGCCTACCTGTTGCCAACATCGGGCCAACCCGAATTCTTCCCAATCTTTATCTTGGCTGCCAGCGAGATGTCCTTAACAAGGTGGGTGCTTTGAAAACATCCTTCACTGCAGGGTTTCTGGTTAGTAGCTGGAGAAACTGTGATTGTCTGTTCACTGTCATTTTAAACACATACTGCTTCCAGAAAGGAAATACACCATGCTCAGTGTGCTCCCTGCAAGCAGTTGGTTGGGTTGTCTTCTGGAGGGCTATTTTGTTTGATGTTATTGATTGCCACAAGAAACCTAATCTGTTGCCATAGTGGCTTGTTCCTCGACGGTCCAGGAGACCTGGGATAGGACAGGATTTTTCAGAAGTTTAGCCTTATTTTCTTAGGGTATTAATTGTTCTATTGTAGTAATTGGGCACACTCAGGAAGCCTAAGACTTCCTAGATTATTTCACATTTAGAAATGTATTTACTGAGGCACACTAGAAAGGGACTCGAGTTTGGCTTGGATTGAGGAAGGACCTCTGGCCGGAGGGATGGGGGGTGGGATTAAGATGGTGGGGCCAGGGCTAAGGGCGTGCATTTCAGGCTCCGCTGTCAGAGGCTCGCTGGAGCAGTCTCACTGAGAAGAGGGAAGAGCGTGGATTCTCGCTGCAAAGGATGTGGGCCATACTGAACATGGGCTGCCTACCACAGGAACCCATATTGGAACCACTGAGTATCTGATGGCACAAGCGGTAACAGTAGAACTGAGCTCTGTCTGCCTCCACAGCTCATATGCCCTTAACCAGTAGTGGTGGGAACCAGGCTTCTCACTGCCCAGAAAAGTGGTTTTTCCTCTAAAAACCTCTTTTTTACACCACCTGTAATTGAAAAAGCAGTCAAAGATGTTAATTCACCTGTTGGTGATTTACAGGTGCCACTTTCCTGTTAGGAGGGGCGATACCTTAACATTTTCTTCTTGGGTAACCAAAAGAATTGGGCTGACCATAAAACTAGCTTCCACGTTGGCTTGCGTTAGCGTGTGAAAAGCAAAAATACCCTACCATTGGGCAGCGATGAGGCATTCTTTCATTTCTCTTTTTTGTTTTATTTATTTATTTATTTTTAAAGATTTTATTTATTTATTTGACAGAGAGAGACAGAGCAGGAACACAAGCAGGGGGAGTGGGAGAGGGAGAAGTAGGCTCCCCTCTGAGCAGGGAGCCCGATGCGGGGCTCGATCCCAGGACCCTGGGACCATGACCTGAGCCGAAGGCAGCTGCTTAACGACTGAGCCACCCAGGCGCCCTCTCTTTTTTGTTTTAAAAACTCCTGCCTCTTAAAATTTTGCCTCAACACTGTTATTAATATGTCTGCTTTTACAGTGAGATATTTGAAAATTGATAGTTTATATTTGTATTGAGCCTTTTCTGGTGGGGTCCCAGTTCTTTTGAACATGTGATTATTACTCTCTTTTAAAGATAAGCAGACTATGTCACAGAAAGCAAAATTAATTTCCTAGAGTCACATGCATCCCTGGGGCAAAGCTGAAGATGCTTTAGTTAAAACTCAATCAGAAAATGAAATAAAATTCCTAGTTAAGAATCCTGTTCAGAATTACACCCCAGTTAAAAAAACAAAAAAACTAACCAGTCAGCAGGTGATTTTACAAATAATGGCATTATAGATCATTTTTGTTGCTTTTGACATTACATTAAGTGGCATATTTTTGCTATGTACTGTTTGCAGGTTTAACAGCTGTGTCAGATAATAACTCTGTAAGTGCCTACAAGGTGAGAGCAGTTAAACTGGACCGTGGAGTTGAGGATGGGGAAAAGGGTGGTTTTTTTCCTCCTTTAATTGGCTTCTCAGTGTATACTGCACAGGATACGCCCACAGATGCATTGGGAGGAGGTGGGTGTAGGGGGAGGAGTGGATTTTTGGAAGTTCATGGGGAAAACAACTTGGGCAAGGAGTTTCTGTGGAAGATTGTCAGGAAACTTCTTTGAGACAGATGTATGGATTAGAGAATGGTGAGAAGTCAGCATGCTTTGAAAGCAATGAGTAGAAACTCCTATTGACCTCTGGATTCATTGTTGAGAAGAGTTGAAGCGCTGAATGGGATTTTAGTGATCATATAGTCAGTCTTCTTTCTTTGATAAATGAGGAAGCCCACTGTTCCAGAAATATTAGATGAATTCCACAACATCACCCAGCAGATAATTTTGGGACCCGATCTGCCTCTATTTCAGGATAGCTTGAACTGATCTTTTGGCTCAGCTCTCTGATTTAAACCTTACAGGAGAAGTAATATGCTTCTTCTCTTCCTGAAGATCTCCAAAGATGAAGATTTTATAATTTTTCCTTTTTTTTTTTAGAAGATTTATTTGAGAGAGAGAGAGCGAGAGAGCATGGGGGGGGAGGTTCAGAGGGAGAAGCAGACTCCCCACTGAGCAGGGAGCCTGATGTGGGACTTGATCCCGGGACTCCAGGATCATGACCGGAGCCAAAGGCAGTCGCCTGGGTGGCTGCCCCTTATAATCTTTCCTAATAGTACATTTTTTTAAAATTAGAATTTAGAAGCTGAAGTTTTTAAAAATAGCAACTATAAGACCACTAATTTTATTACTTGTTTTTTTTTTTTTTACTAAAGTGCCACCAAAATATTTTGAAAGCATGTCACAGAAGTTTTCTTAGGAGGATCATACTATTTACCTGTTTAAAATGCGAGGCTCTTTATATTATTGCATTTAACCCTCATATTAGGAGGTAGGTTGACCCTGAGTCATTGTCACTTACCCAAGATTTTGTGACTGGGAAGTCATGTGCTCAGTGGCAGAAATCATCCTCAAACTCAAGTTTCTATTCTGGCTTTAAGTCCTATGTTTATGTAAGACCGGAAATACCCATCTTCTGGAAGATAGAACTCTCTGTAACAGGCTGTTATGAAGGACTGACAAATCACTGCTGAGATTTTCTTTCCCTGGTTTTCCTACAGCATATTCTATACCAGCACTGCCCACTACAAATGTAATATAAGCCACATACTTAATTTAAAATGTTCCAGTAGTCTTATTAAAAAAGTAAAATGGAACAGGTGGAATTTTTTTTTTAAAGATTTATTTATTTGAGAGAGAGAGCACAGGAGAATGGAGGGGAGGGGCAGAGAGAAACTCAAGCAGACTCCACACTGAGCGCGGGGGCCCAATGTGGGGCTCAATCTCACCACCGTGAGATCACAACCTGAGCCAAAACCAAGAGTGGATACTGAACTGACTGTGCCACCCGGGCACCCCGATGAAATTAATTTTGATAACATTTTATTTATCACAGCATATCTAGCATTTCAGTGTGCAATCAGTGTAGAAAAACTACTGCTATATTTTTTTGTACTAAGTCTTTAAAATCCGGTGTATATTATAGTCACTGCACATTTCAGGTGCTCAATAGCCTCCTGTGGCTTCTGGCTACCATAGTGGACAGTGTAGGTTAATGCTTTAAACATGTATTCATTTTATTCCGGTTTCAAAGGCATGGCTCTTCTGTAAAAGACCGTAAGAAGTCATGGTAGCAAAAAGGATACTCCCAGTTTCTTTTTCCTTCACGCTATACTTTTGTTTCTCACAGTCTGTTCTTTTATTTTCTAGTCTTGGTACGAGGGCTGGAACAGGAATGGCTCATTGTACTAAAAATAGTTTGCTGATGCCCAGTTCGCATCTGAACGGAGCAGGATTTGAGCAAGAATCTCCGATTACTATGTGAAAGACCAAAGTTCTTGATTGTTTTTCTGCCTTATCACTTAACATTTCCAATAGAGACTTGTTTCACACTGAAAGACATGAAGCCCATGATGGAACTACCTGTTGCCAGTAGTTCCTAAGCCGGAGCCAGGTCTGCAGTGAGGGCGGCTTCCTCCCTGAGGCACTCCGGCCGCCCCTCCCTCCCTGTGTAAACAGTGTGCTGTGGGCGAGCATGCTGTTGCTCGTTCGCTCTTTTAACAGGCACAAGGTTTTCTTGTGCTCCCTGGTCAGTCCGCCTGCCCTGGGACAGCTGCCGTCTCTCTGGTTTTCTTGCCAGAGTCAGCCTAGACACACAATACTGGGTTTCCATAGGGTCTAGGAAGACAAAAGATCCAAGTTATCAGTAAAAATACACCCCACAGTGTGCAAGTTGGTTAGACAAGGCCTGTTCATTCCACAGTGATGTGCAAAACAGGCTGACTGACAGTAGAACTCCCTCTGGCAAGGCAGCGTGGCTCTCGGTGGAGAGCCAGCCTCGGAGCTGGGCAGTCCTGTGTCCCAGGGCTCCGCCTGACCAGCCGCATCACGTTAGCCAAGTGGCCGAATCTGGGCTTCTTCACCTACAAACCGTAATGATTCCTGCCTTCTAGTGTGCATGTGAGGTTCAAATGAAGTGACGTGTGCCAAGCACCAAGGACAGTTCCTGGTCTGTAGGGACCCTGGTTACTGTCAGCAAGAAGCCCAGCGTACAAGCTGCTAGGGTGAGTGCTGGATACAGTGGGTATGGTTGGTCGAGGAAGGCTGGACGGAGGAAGTAGGACTTACAGTCAGTTTGGAAGGCAAAAGGAGTGGCAAATGCAAAATTATTATTGAATTGACTTCAGAAAGAAAAATTACAAATCCATTATCTAGAATTGTGATGTCTGTGGTGATTTAATGTGATTGCTTTCCTCAGTCTAGCTGAACATGGGAAACTTGATCAAATTGAGCAGTTTTATTAAGGCTATATATCAATCTGTGTCCCATATACTGCTCCACAGATTATAGAACCCATATTAGAAATTAGTCCAACTACAGGGCAAAGTTCATTTCACGGTTTAGGAGAGAGAAACTTTTAAAGGGAAAGAATTGTGAATGGAAATCATAAGTAATAATAAAGTAATAAAATAAAGATTTGTTTTTTGACTAGAAAATGTCATTTTTGAAAGTTTTCTTAATTGTATATTGAAGCCAGATTCCATTTTTTAAATTCTTAATGGGCAGTCTCTTCTACTTTGCAGATGAACCCTTTCTATACCCAGCCTGCTATATTCAGTGTGAGTGCCCTACTTAAGGCTAATGAGGAGAAGACAGTTTGAATTAGTGAAAAATG